TATGGAGAGATCAGAAATTGATTTTTTTCTTCTTGTTTACTTGGAATGGGGCTGGAGTGGGCAGGAGTTAGGGTGGGAGTTTTGGTGGGGAAGAGCTCTGATGAGGAGAGAGAAAATCTCAGAGAAATTAACATTATTGGTATCTTTCTATATAAAGATGCAAATGGCATTTTATCTTAACTTGGCCCTGTGTTTAGTCAGTGTTTATGATTAATTATCTCCTTTTTCATAAAAATAAATCATGTTAAAAATTAGGATCTCCACACTGGGGAGAAACTAAGCACTGGTTTCGGGTCGATCTTGTTAATTTCAGCCTGAAATTGACACACTAATTAAAGAGCAACGTGGTAAAGCACAAGCAGGCAAGATTATACCCAGCTCTTTTTTTTTTTTTTTAAATCAGATCTACCTTATATTTTCCCAATTAAAAACTGCAAAAAGCAGTTTCATTGCCCCAGGATAAAAAATAAGGGCCCCCTTTTCACAACATGGGCCATCACTTTCTACCATCAGATTCATTGTGATGTATTAGATGCAATAAATTATCCCATGTAACAAAACATTGGGAGCTGAAAGGCAGATAATCTGGAAAGCAGAGATAAGGATTCATTATTCCAAATCATTATGAATCCAACGTTGCCTCTGACTTCTTTCTTAATCAGCTCCTCTGATCCTGGATATGTGAGCAGCACAGATAAGGAAAGAGTCGTTTATAATTCTCCACCTCGTCTAATATTTTAAAATAAAGTCAGAGGCAAGAAAACGCCATAAAACACTGGTGAGCAGGCAAGCGCCGAATGAAAAATCACTTCCATGTTATTATATCCACAGTAAGATTTAATTAAAATTCTCCACGTCCACGTGCTTTATTTTCAGATAGGATTTTTTCCCATCACGTAATAATTGATAGGAATTTGCAAACGGGGCTATTTATTTAGGGCGCCTGGGTGGAATAGGTCTGATTTTCTTTCTTTCTTTCTTTCTTTTTAATTTCCAGTCACTGCTTTTTAAACTTTCATTTGCGATGTCCATAGTTCCAGACCACCCAAGTCCCCACCACCCACCCGCCCTACCGAGGCTGCCGTTCTTGGTCCCGGAAATGTAGTTGTAGTCACAGTCCTGAAAGTTGAGTTTAACAAAAATGTTCTTTTATAAGAAGCAGCAGAAAACTGGGTTGTTCCCATGTGATACCTCCTTTATGCCCTCTCAATTCCTACCCCCACGCATATTTATAATAAAATAAATCTCAATGAGTGGAACTGGAAGATTAGAACTTTCAAACGCGCTGGTGTGTGTTGTCATGTGGCAGAGTGCACTTTAAAGAACTAAACCAATCTGAGGATTTGTAGGAAGGTAGAACAATTGAAAAGGGAGGCTGGCACTGAACACTGATGGGCAGAAAGAAAAATATTATGTGTTTTAGGGAAAAGAAACAAGATGTTGAAACCTGGAGAAGTTAATATGTTGGTTCTGCAGCTCCACACAGAACTACTCTATGTGGCCACACGTTCTTAGGAAGATTGGAGGTTCTGCCAGTGATTACCTCTTCCTACGGGATCTCCTTTTTCTTTATCTAACAGGTGAACTTCATATCTACGTGACCATCGTGGAGATCCAGATACACTGTTTTTATTATCTATCAGTCATTTACTGATCCATCTTCTACCTTCACATGTTGGGTGACTGCTCTTTATATTTAAAAGCCAATCAAATGCCTTCGCTTGTAGGAATGTGGTCTTATAAAACTGGCAGGATGCACCACCGGACTGAAAGCGGCTGGTGCAGGTGCCAATCAGGATGAGGCATTTGCCTTTGGGAAGAATCCCAAAACCAGGCTCTGTCTCCAGGCCCAGGGTTCTGGTCCATCTCTCTAGCTGGTTCAGCTCTGAATCCACAAAAGGCTAAAAGGCTGGTGGTAGGTGCTTCAGGGAGGGTAAATGGAGCCAGGGAGGCCTGATTAGGATGCAGGTTCATAGTGTGTGAGGAAGAAGTGACCAGCAGTGGGTGCTCATGTTTGTGTGTGGCTGTGAGTGGGTCCATGCCTGGGCTGGGACTCCAGGCATGCACCCCACTCAAAAACTTTTCCATGAAAAGATTCCCTCCAGAAAGTCTTCAAATCTCAGACAAAGCCACCTTGTCTCCTCAGGCACGTTAGGTTAGGTGGGCTCCGAGCAACTGGTTTCCCTTGCCAGGTAGTGTGTAAGCTATAGACAGTTGTCCCTGAATACGGAATGTCACTCTCTTCTCTTTTCGCCCTCTGTCACCCCCAAGTATATTTACACGCACAGAAACCGGAGCCGCGAATCAGTGAGCCAGAGTGGTAGCTTTTAAAATTCAGGAAGCGACTTGGGGATTCATTAAAGCAGTAACTTTGCTGTGTGCCTGGCCCAATGTCCACTCATCAGAAATAAATCTTCAGCCCTACTGCCCAGAAAGTCCGACCAAGTGACTGACCAGGGAGTATTTCCCTCACTTTGTTTCCTTCTCAGAATAAATTCTCTCCTTTCTCCCCAACTTCCTCCCCACCCTCAAACCTGCCCTAACTCTCCTGGAATACCTCACTCTCGTCAGCAGGGTGTCCACCCCAAGCCCATCAAGACAGCAAGAAATGCCCAGCTGGCAGCAACTGCCGCTGTCTGACAATTACATTGGAAAAGGGTTGTATTTTCATTAAGCCCTTTGGATTTTCTTTTGAAAACCTGAATCTTTGGCAGCCAAATTTCTTTCCATCAAGACACCCTGCCTTAAAGGTAGAATTGGGGTGATGGGGAGAGGTGTGCAGGAGAGCAGATTTCACAACCCCTCACCCAGGAGCCACTTTAGACGCGAGCAAAGCAAGTGCCAGCGCCGGCAGAAAAGGAACGGGGAGCGGGGCCGCCAGACCGATGGGAAACAGGCAGAGAGAGGGTCGCCAAGAGCAGGGCCCGGGTGGCCCGGGGGAGGGAGGAGGGACAGGAGAGCTTGTCCTGGGTCTCAGAGGGTGCTGTTGCGGGCTCCAGGTTCTAAGGAAAAAGGACTTTCCCTTGGGAGCCGAGCCTAGGGCGGGGAAAGGAGGAGGAGGGGCAGGAGAATGGAGACGACGAGGAGCCGGAGAGGGGAACTTGAAGGAAGACGAAAGTGGCCCCTCTGGCCTAGTGGACGGCGCGTTGGGGTACAGTGAATGCCCGGGGTAAGGAGACAACTGTCGCCGCCTTGGTGACCGATCACCCCTCCCTGGGTCCTCGCCTTAGTCCCCACAGGGGAGAAGCGCGTGAGACTGAAGGAGGCGGTATCAGGACCCTCCGGGGGTCTGCAATGCCAGCGACACTTCTGTTCCCAGCAGCAGGGGCCTTCCTAGGACAGGCCAGGGAGCCCCCGCCCCCACCCCGAACCCCGTTCCTCAGGGCAACAGGTTGGGTGCAAGCTGTCAAGAGATGGCCTTTCTGCATCCTCGAAACGCACCTAGAACGTGGCTCTGCCACGTGGTGGCAGAAGGCGGGAGGGACAGGGCAGGAAGGTGGAGGAGGGGCTGCATTTGTGACGACAGGGGGTGGAGGGGAGAGGACTTCGGGGCTCCCCAGAGGGCAGACAGACCTGGCCAGCCTGGCAAATCCTAAGTCTCTCTCCCTGGATTCAAGGCCTAAACCCGCCCGCAGGGTGTGCGGCGGGGGCACACCTGGGTTGGGGAACAGGCTGGGGTGCCCCTGTGTGGAGGCTGGTTTGGGGTTCAGGCGGCTGGAGGCAGGCCACAAATCCAGCGGAGAGGGCAGGAGGGCCCACAGCACAGAGCTGCTGCCCGGCTCCTAGCGCGGCCCCCCAGCCTGGGCGTTATGCTCAACTGCTCTCTGCACCCCATGTCCACGCAGCTTAGTCCTCACCTCACCTCCACCTCTGTCCACACCCCAGTTCTCCTGAGTCTGGGGACCAAATGTCTTGGCCTCCCCGACAGGAAATGGCCACCCCAAAACACTTTGCCCCACGAAAAGAGCAACTCCTTCCTACTCAACCAGTTGGAGCACAAGAAACCTCTTGACTTCCTGGCCCAGCCACAGATAAATTTTGTTTTATTTCTCCCCAAAGATTTATTTATTTTTAAAGTCAGTCTCCATATTCTTGTTGTATAAATATTGTGAAGGGAAAGCTCTACCTGTCAAAACAGATGGACTCCGGCCTTTCTACCCCAATGTTTATGGAGTTTCATTTTACTCTTGCTGAAATTTATTCATGACAGATTCTCCCTCCGTGGGTTATTTTGATCTCCTCACCAGCAGGGGTAGGGATGGTACCAGAGAGGCGGCTTTGCAGGGAGGGCTGGAGTTTACTTGGCCCTATGGGTAGCGGAACCGGATCATTTTCCTTCAGACATTTTATCTCCAGCACGACCTCTGATTCCTGCTTCCTTATCTCACTCTCCTAGAAGGTAGATTTTCCCTAGAAGTCTTCTTAAAAAGAATTGAGACCCCTAGAGAATCCCCCCGAACCTCTAGTAAGTGTGCCCAAGGATACCCCATCTCCAAATATTCTTCTGTCTGCTTGGAGGAGGGCCGGGGGTAGTAGCCAAGTCACCCAGCACCCTGCACCTCCTAACTTTTACAGGGCAGCTACGGCTCAGGAGAGATGAAGGTAGGATGGGGGCGTCTTGGAGGCATCAGGTAGACAAAAACAGGAGAAATAGTGAGAAGGGAGAGGGAAAGCCCGGGAGGGCAGAGACCCTAGCTTCCGGGCCCTGCTGTTGGCTGCCACTGGCCAGACCCCGACAAGCTCCCCCTGGGTCCCCAGTGCTCCCAGAAGTGGAAGGAAAATATCACAGATGGGTTTACACCTATGGTAATGACCCAGTCCACACTTCTGATGACAAGTATAGTGTTAATTCCAACCCTGCCAGAAGACAGAGGACTGTGCAGGCGCCAGGGGCCGGTCACATTTCAGGCCGCCTTTCCCCACCCCCCAGCTCTGTCAGTTTCACACACCCCTGATGTGCTGTTTGCCTGTTTGCAAAAAGGGGTGAAATTCATTCCCTCGCTCTGTCTCCTTCCCTCCCTCCCTTTCCCTCTTCGCAACCCGGAAGAGCTCCGCTCTCTACAGTGAGCAGGGAAGGCGGAGGGGAGGGGGCTCCAAGGAAGGACGCACATCGCCCAGGTTTTACCTCTCGCTGGAAGCCCGCCTGGGATGCGGTGAGCAGTTCCAGCGGCCAGGACGGCAGCGGCAGCCACAGTGGCGAACTCTGCCTGTCATTTCTGCCTTCAGATCTCCGGCGAGTCAGGAAAAAATAAAAAACAGCTGGCCCTCGGGAGCGAGCTGCCCAGGTCAGTGAATATCACTCTCTTCCCTCTCTAACTCCGCACGCCCTCTCCCCGCTCCACGTGGAGAGAATTAGGAGGAGGGCTCCTCTCCAAAGGGCGGACTGCCTCTGAAAGAAGCTGAACTAGAATCCAGTTCTTATTGTTCTTTTTTTGGTCGCTGGAAGTCTCTGGGTTTCTGTGGTGACCTTGGGCGAGTATGGTGTGTGAGTGTGTAGATGTCCTCGTTTGCAGGAAAGAGCTGGTAGAAGTAGGGATGTGAAGAAAAACCCAGCGGAAAAATGAGAGCCGGTGGGAATGCTTGGAAAGAGCCGGACACAGATTTCCCACTGCAAGGAGGGTAGAGGATTGGGGAAAACAACCCCCGAGCCCAGGAGCCTTCTCCTAAAGGTGGCTGCAGTCTCAATTTCATGTTTATTTTCCTCTGTTTAAAAGTGTGTGTTGAGGCTCATTGTCTCTGCATATAATTAAAGAAACAGCTGTGCTGTAAGATAAAGTTGGAACCCAGATGTGTCTGCATCTGGCATACCCGAAGGAAGCTAGGGGTCGGGAGGCTTCTTTGCTTCCAGGAGCACCCTGAGGTGGGTGAGAAAACCGCAGCCTCCCCACAGGGCACCCAGGGGCATCCAAAGCAGAAGGGGCAGAGAAGACAAGATTTGGACTTAACTCCTGGGACATCAGACCAACAGACCTCCAAAAGGTTACTCAGCGGCAGTTTGCCCTTGAAGACAATGTTAAAACATCAGGGAAGTGGAGTGAATCTGGGCAGGACAGTTGCTATCATACACGCCTTTTCTTTCTCCGGGATACCAACAGGGTGTCTGAAGAAACTGACACGGATGATTCTGGCAAGGGCAGGGGTGGAAGTGAGTCTAATGGTGCGGCCTCTCCCTGGGTTTGGTTCCCATGTTTCTTGGTCTTTCTTGCCTCCCCATTGTCCATGCTCGCCGGGACGTGGGGTCGCAGATGGGAGATTAACAATTTAAAAGGGACACATGGTGAAGAAGCATTTCCTGAAGACTCCTCTGCTTAGCGGCTGCTGCAGAGAAGGTAGTGGCCGTGGCAGTGGGTGGGCTGGGGGTCTAGCCAGGCTGGTTGAGTCCATCCAGGTGTCTGTAAATGAGATGCTTGGGGGCCCAAATGGCTGGTAGTATGTGTGTGTGGCTGGGGCTTACCATGACATGTTTGTGCCATTCAGAAGAACGGAATTATTTTCTATCTGTTTGAACCTAGTCGGGGCATGGTGTCAGTTCAGACCAAGACCCCACTGAGTGTCAGGTCGCTAGGTGGGGGGTCTGATCATGGAGTCTCTCAGTGGCATCAAGCAGGAGACCCTGCTTCCAGCTTCCAGCCAGCTGCCCCGAAAAGCCCAAGGTCCCCAGCCCAGGAAGCTGCAAGTCTTGGAGGATGCGGAGTGGCTGCAGTGCGTGGGCCCATCCTCCACTCTGCACAATAGGTGTCTGCCAGCCCCAGCGCTGGGGCTGTTCTGTCCCCACCAAAAGCAGGGAGACCTGGGAAGCTATATTTTTCTTTATTTGACATTTGCACCCTGCCTTCTTGTGGAAGATAAATGACATGGGGACAGTCAGGGGTGCAGAGAAGAGATAGAAGTGGGCATCCCTGAGCATTCTTTGGTAGGGGTTTTCTGTTGGGGTGTCCAGCTGCCCTGGACCACAGAGTGCCTGGGGAACTGGCAGGTATGTGGGAGCCAGGTGGCTGAGAACCCCTCTTTTGGAGGTTAAAGCAGTTTGTGTTCTGGAACCATGGCAAGTGGCAGGGAATTAGGGATCCGGATAAGGTGTGGGGGGCAGAAGCCACCTCTGTCCTCTAGCACTGGGTTATTTTTAACTATTTCTAGGCTGCACCAAAGTGATGTCTCATTATTGGTGCCTGAGCCATTTTGCACAGAAATGTGCATTCTTCTCCTGGTATGTCTTTGTGTGCAGACCAAATCTTTCCCATCACCTCTTTTTTTTTTCTTAATGGTAGGAATAGCAAGAGAGGCTTTGCAGCCTCGGAGGGAACAAACCGAGGAACCCCCTTTTGCTTTGGCTGCTGGCTGACTGGAGCTGGGGGTGCAGAGGTGGTGAAGCACCAAGCAAGAAGCAGTTGCCCAAGGCATCCCTGCTGAGGTCCACCGGGTGTCGGTGGCTGCGGGTCTGCTGGCGCTAGTGAAGAACAGGCATAGGCGTCTCGTGGCTGTTTTGTTTTATAAAACAAATTGCTTGGGGTCCACAAGGTGGAAAGCGGCCTAGAACTGAGTTGCCGGCAGGGAGCGGGAAGGGGGCAGCCCGGCACCACCAAGGGACCCCGGGACCAAGTGAGGCCGGAAGAAGCCTGCGCACGCCAAACCTCCTCCTTTGCACCTCTGAGCCAGGCACAGTCACGGATTTTACCAGGGGTCTCCAACAGGTCCAAAGGAAGACACAATCGGTTTGCGCTTTTAAAAGCCCGCCTCTACTGTCTCCTGGATCTGAACGGAGTCCCCCTCCCTCTCTTTTCCTACCCCTGCTGTGAACACTCCCCCTGCCCAATTGTCCCGCTACAATCACACTCCAATTCCTAGGCTAATCTAGAGGAGTCAAAACACCATAGTCTCCAGATAAAACCCTCCTTCTCCTCCCAAAACACCAGACTGAAGCAGCCCCAGGAGACTCGGCTGAGGCTAGGGCTGGGGGCTGGGAGGCTGTGAATTGGTGGGTGACCGCACCAGGCTGGGGGAGTGAAGCAGGTGACTCAGACTGGCCGGCCTCAGCCCCACGTGAACCCCACCTCACCTGGCAATACTAAGGCCTGGTGGGCCAAGCCTTGAAATGGGTGAATTTCTGCCCGGCTGGAGCCTTTCCTTGGTGCAGGGTCTGGAGTCCTGGGTACTGTAGCGGTGTGGCTGAGGGGTCCCCTCGGAGGGAGGAGAGGCCGGGTCTAGAAGTAGCAAGCCCCTGGCTGAGTCACTGATGCCGCTGGGGGCAGGGTAAGGGGTCCAAAGCTGGGGAGACCCAGGGCTGCCAGCTCGGCTGCCTCCATCCCTTCTTCTCTGGTGGCACTCACCTCTCCCCCAACCTGCCAAGGCCAGGAGGAAGGGAGAGAGCCGAAAAGAGCACCTTTCCTCCAGGGTGACTCCAGTTCCTTTCCACTCACCCTCAAGGGGAGTTCTTTCTCTCCTACCCAACCCGGGGCTCCCCGCAACTGATGCCCCCCACGTGTGCATTGTTAAACCCGAAGGCAGAAATCCCCTGTCTTCTCCCTGCCCGTCTCCCTCTTTCCGCTGCACCCCTACCTACCCAATTTTTATCTTGCGACAATCAGGGGTTTTCTCAACCGGGGAAAAGGCGGTGGTAGCGGCTGTGGGAGGAGGGTCAGGATCCCTCGACTTAAAGCCGAGGCCGGGCTAAGGGCGGAGTGCGAGGGGGCGGTGATCTAACGCTTCTCCTCTTTTTTGACTCTCCCCATGGCTAGCGGCTCCTGTTGGCCTGGGCTGGTTTCCTTCCGAGTTTTAAACGATGATAGATGAATAAGCAAAACGAACAAACAGAAAAAAAAAAAAAAAAAAAAAAAAAAAAGAAAGCAAAGAAAGAGAAAAAGACAAAAGGGTAAATCAAACCACATACCACCCCCAAAGCAATGGCTCATTTTCCCGGGAAGGTAGACCCCAGGCCCGGGACGTGTGGGCGTGGGAGCCTCGAGGAGAGCTGCCACTGGGACGCGCCCGCCTCCATCATGTTCCTGTTGCCAGTGAGTTTTAGGGTCCCTCTTTCTCTGTTTTCCCCGAAGTTCCCAGCTCAGTGGATTTTGTTTGAAAAGACCTAGCCTTGCCGGGCCGGCATCCTCAACCAGCACTGCCCACGGCCCGGCTGCCTTCTCCCGTTTAGATCTCGCTCCCTGCTCGCAAGGGAAAGAAAACCGGGGCCTGGGTGGGAGATGCACAGATAATATGTATTTAACCTGCGCGGTCCGTGGCGCCGTGCCGCAGCCCGCGGTGGCGCCTGGAGCCGTGTCCCCGGCGTAACCCTCTCGCCCGGCAGCCGGCTAGCTGTTTATACAGCTTTACCTGTGCTATTCTCCTATCCAGTAAAAACCCTCGCTCGGCCAGGGTAACCTAATCCAGGGGCCGAGGCGGAGGAGGGGGCAGTGAGGCTGGCTGGGTTGGAGAGGGAGGTATGCGCGCGCCACTACCCGGGGTCTCTCCTTTGCTCCTCCTCCCACCGTAGGGAAGGAAATTTGGATGTTTCGGGTGACAGAAATGGGGACTTGGGGCTAAGGAGGAAAGAGGCCAGTTTTCACGGTCCCGTCCTCAGGCTTCTCGTTTGAACAGGCGCTGGGTACCTGCGCGGCAGCCACAGCTGGACGTGCGCCGCGAAACGCACGGCGGTCCCGGGGGCGCCCGGCGTGGGCTAGCGAGGCCGGGGACAGGTTTCCCGCCCTGGCCTGGCTCAGGTCGCCCTAGCCGGGCTTTCATCTTGCCCCAGTCACCCTTTCCAATTCCCACACCGAAGGAAAAACGAGCAAGGAAAGGAGCCGGCGCCTCCCCAAGCGGACCCTCCCTTGCAGGGAGCCTGGGCCACTCTTCCAGAGCGCCCCGGTGCGGACCGCGGCGGGCGCGCGGAACCGAATTAAACGCCTCTGGGCGGTTATTGTCTTTCGCTAATTGCTCGAACAATGGCCTCTATTAAAATGGAGACACCCAATGAAAGGCCCCGCCGGGCCGCGCGAGACTCCCTGCAACGCTCTGTCCCCAGGCCTGCGGCTTGCAGACCGCGGACTCGCGGACCCAGCTGGTGCCAGGAGCTGGCGCCGGCCTCGACACCTTTGGCCTCCACTTCCTCCCCAGACTCACAGCGACAGCGGCCGCTTCACACCGATTTTATTGACCGATCGCAGCCCAGCAAGATTGATCGAGCTGGAATGGGAAGGGACTTCTCCTCCCCCAGTCCCCACTCGCGGGGTCCTGGGGCCCGGCTCCAGTTTCTGGCCTTTGGTGTCGCTCTCCGCCCCCCAGCCCCGCAGATTCCCGGCTCCTCTTCTGTCTTTAACTGCGCGGCCGGGTCCGCCCAGGCCGGCGCCGGGGCTCCGGCGGGAGGGACTAGGCGGCGCAGCTTGCTCCGCTTCTCTCTCCCGCCTGCAAATATTTGCTGCCTTGCTGGAAATCCGACTATTTCGCGCGCTCTCTTCTTGCAAAGTCTTTAAGTAAACACGCTCAAATGACTGCCCCCGGCGGCCCGAGGCACGCTCTCTCCCCATGCGCGGGATTAGTAACTTTAGGACTTCAACCCAGGGGCTCGGCTTGCTGCTTACCCTGGGCGGGCAGCGAGCGGGCACCCGGGGCCGCTTCTCCCGGCACCTCGGCCCCGCGGAGCTCGCCTGGACGCGCCAATCGCCTGGCTCGGGTGGGTGGCGCCGGCCGCGAGCATCTCCGCGCCCTGGGTCCGTAACCCTAGGGCTGGGTCCGGGAAAGCTGGGCCTTCTCTCTGCGCCACGGCCTCCGCTTTCTGTACCGGAGTGGGTTTCTCCGCTTCCACCGGGACAGGGTCTCTTTGCCCCGGGAGGACGGGTGGGAGGGTCTTGCTCTTGGGCATGTGTTTGCGGGTGTGTGCGGATTCCAGCTTAGCCCCTACCAAGGGGAGAAAGTCCGACTCCATTTCTCACCTTTTCTCCCAGAGGACACTCATACCCCACTTAACTTGACGCCTAAAGCAGCCGCTCCCAGGCCTGGGGGTTCAGATAGGCCAAGCCGGCTGCCGCCGCCCGGCACGCCGCCCCAGGCCCAGGCTCCTCTCCAGGCGGTGGACGCGCCGTCGCCTGCTCGGCTCTGGGATGCTTGCTCCCAGGGTCCCAGGCGTCCAGGTTGATCACCAGCCCCTTACCCTGGTGAAGGAGGCCTTGTGCCCTACAGGAACCCCGGGCCCTGCAGCGGCGACGGCGGCATCTTCCTGGGTCGCCTCCTCGCTTTTCCGCACCCCAGCTCCGCCGGCTGCAACTTGGGAGGAAGGCGACCCGCTAGACCATGCCTAGGCCCAGCTACCTGGGGAGGGGTCGCGTCAGGACTGAGGGAAGGCTCTCAGGCGTCTCTGCAGGAGGCCAGGATCAGCTTTGCGGCGCTGGCGCAGGGAGAAGAATCAGGACCACCTTTCTCCCCTTCCCCCCGGCCACGAGCCCCCTTCCCCTCCCCCGCCCGCCAAAGAAGGAGGAAGCCGGCCTGCTCTTGCCGGCTAGGCAGGTCAGGCCGGCGCCTGGCCTGGCTCGGACCCCCGCAGCCCGGCTCTCCGCCTCAGGCCACGCGCCGCAGCCTCTCCGGCCTCGCTCCCTTCCCCCTTCCTTCCCCGTGGGTCCCGGGGCCGACCTCGGCCCTCCCTCTTCGGTATCCCCCTCCCCTCCATTTCCCTCCCCCCCTGCCCTGTGCTCTGGGCTCCGGGGCTGGGCCCGTGACGTCAAACCCAGTGTGGCGTCGGCGAGACTGGCCGGCGCGGGCCATCAAAAGAGCAACGTCCTCTCTCCCAATTACCCACTGTCAGTCCTGGAACAGGGGCGGACCGGCTGGGAATTAAATGTTAAATACCCCCTGCTGGCTGGCTCCATTACCCGGGGTATCTAGCCCCAGGCCCCCCACCCCTCTCTGCCAGCCTCAAACCACCCAGACCGAGAGGGGCCTTGGAGATCTTTTATTTTTCTAAAGGTGGAGGTTGCCCTTCTCCATCCCCGGCCCGTCCGACTCGGTGCTGGCGATAGAATTTAAACGAATAATCCCTACTTCCCCATCCAAAATCAGCGGAGAGGCGCCCCTGCACCGGAAGGCCTCTTCACCAGCCTTTTCTTTTTGTCTTTAAAATCGTTCTTAGCCTCAGAAGTTAGCATTTTCAAGACCTGGCATCCGCAGTGTTTCTGTCGCGGGGACTGCTCTCTTCGGCTCTTTCTCGGGCATCCGAGGTTTAGGCGCGCAGGACCCAGGGCTGCGCTTAGTGTTACGCGTGGCTGTGAGCCGGGCTCACGCTGCTTGGCGCATCCATCGCCCGACCGACACGCGGGGAAGCATTTTTCATTTTTTCTTTCGGCTTCGGTGCTTAATCTTAATCCCGGGCTTCTAAGCAAAAATGTGTGTGCGTTCGTTTCTCCTTGTTTATGGAGAGGTTTCCGGAGGATATTCGACAGCAACTAAATAATTAAAAGGTTTAGAGAGCGCTGTGAGCAGAAGATGTGGGCAGCTTGGCTCGCCCAGGAGAGGAGAGTGGTGAGAGAGCGAAAGGAAAATCGATGCCTCTTAACTGGGCCTCCTAATAACGGGAGGCCAAGTGGGCTCAGGAGAAACGTGGGGGGAGAGCTGTCTTTAAAAAAATTGGGGTTCTTTCTTTTTGTCCTGTATATGAAAATTCAGCTCTGATTTCAAACAAACATCACATTTAAGAAGGTGACTCCAAAGAAGATCCAAACGCAAGACCAGGAAGACCCACGTTTCCACTACTGCTTCCAATATGTTTTACTAATATTTCTACAGGGATCGTGTTTTAAAACACGACAACCCCCACACACCAAGTTGAAGCTGCATATTGATAGTTTTCCTTCACCGCATGAAAGGAATCCTTCAGAACTTACTTTCAGGGACTTTCTTCTATCTCGAATTTTTGCATTTGTAGGGAATTTTATGGGGTAGAGGATCGAAGAGGGAACTATGTCTCCAATTCAAATAAAACCCCCAATTAAGCTCTCTGCCCCGTCCCTGGGATAGCCTGCGGGAGCACCCACTCCCTCTCCTCCCAGCATTGCCCTGGGGCGAAGAGAGAGTGGATTTGGAGTCTTCTTTTCCCGCCTGACCCCTGCTCGCCCGGGCAGCGTTTTCGGTCCAGCGGCTGCAGCCACCAGGGCGCCGCTAGGGGATGCAGTGGCTCAAAGGACCGAGCGGGCAGAGCAGGTTGGAGCCCGCGGGGCGGACCAATCGCGGCACGGCCGCAGCCTCGCCCGCTGATTGGCCCCTCCGGGCCCCGCCCCCGCTCGCCCCGCCCCGCTCGCCGGGGCGCCGCGGAGCCGCATGCCCTCCGCCCTGGGTGCCCGTAGCGCAGAGCTTGGCCTGGGGACCCGCGCGCCGGGGAAGGTCGCCGTGGAGTCCCGCCCGGAGGCCGGGGTTGGGGTCGGTGCAGACCGAGGGCTGGTTTCCTCGACTGGGGGAGAAACTTCGGGAGCCGGAGTAAGTAGGGCTCCGGGCTGGGCGAAAGGAAAAGTTGGGTCCCTGGAGTGAAGACCGAGTTCTTTCTCTGTCTACACCGAGCGTACTCGGAGGTGGAGGGGCGAGTTAGAGCCAGTCTCTCCCCTCCCCCTTCTCATCCCTCACCGTTGCCACTCAAGTCAGAAGCACACACTGATCACAAATATTAGGTCTGGAAAGGGCAGCTGCGACAGCTGAAGAGCGTTCACTCCGGGGGCTCGAGAGCGCAGAAGGCTCGGGAAAGAGGTGACAATGACAACAACAGTGACACGGACGCTCCCGTCGGAGCATCTCCCCTTTACCCGATGCCTCACCCTCTTAGGAAATCGGCTCAAAAGGCACATCTCAAAGTACCTTGACTAGAAACATTTTGTTTTTCTGGTCAGTTTCACAGCAGGTCTCCCCACATGCATGCGTTCTCCCAAACACCCTGCCCTGGATCCTAATCTCGATCCATGCTTGCCCATTTGTTGAAAGTCTGAAAAAGAAAAGTCTGCCCAGAGGAATGAACTTCATGAGTTGGGCAGGCTGCCTGCACCAGGGCGTAGTTCGTCCACCCGGCCCGAATGAATCGGCAGGAGCCGCGGCCACATTTAAAGGGCCAGAGCGAGCGTTCCCTCCCGTCCGCCCCCGAGCCCCCCGGGCTTCGCCCACCCTGCCCGCCGCCCCTCCGCCCGCGGCCGCCCTCCGCGGCGCCCCTTTCCGGTCAGTGGAGGGGCGGGAGGAGGGGCGGGGGTGCGCGGGGCGGGGGGAGAAGTCCTGGAGCGGGTTTGGGTTGCAGTTTCCGTGTGCCGGGGATCCTGTCCCCTACTCGCCAGCGCCAGGCTCCTCCCCCCTCGGCGCGGATGACACTAGAACCTCCTTAAGTTGCGTCGCGCCACAGCTGTCTGCGAACACTGAGCTGCCTGGCGCCGTCTTGATACTTTCAGAAAGAATGCATTCCCTGTAAAAAAAAAAAAAAAAAATACTGAGAGAGGGAGAGAGGAGAAGAGACAGAGACGGAGAGAGAGCGAGACAGAGCGAGCCACGCAATCTGACCGAGCCGGTTGTAGCCGCCGCCTCCTCCTCCTCTCTGCTCTTCGCTACCCAGGTTGGTACTGCTGACTTTTTTTTTTTTATTAAGTTTGATTGCCCCACACCCCATCCACTTGGGAGGACTTAAGGAAATTTTAAAAACTCATCTCTCCTCTTTTGGAGGTTTTCTAGGGGCTGGGAGGACAGTCCCGGGACCGGCGTCCCCAAGGGAGGGACTTGTCCTCCAAGTTGCAAAAGTCAGCCCCGCGGCTTGTCCTTCAGGTTGCTCAGTCAGTCCCGGCTCCCGCGAGCTGCGCTGCGGGGACGTCCCAGAGTCCTGCAGGCTCCCCGGCTGTGTCCCCGCGCGCCGGTGCGGGTCCCGGTTGCGCGGGGCGGGCGGGCGGCGCGAGGCGAGGTTGTGCCACTCCAGCAACTCTGGGGCTGACCCACGTCTCCCCTTCTCTCCCTTGCAGGTGACCCTAGGAGGGACTCCGCCTCGGAGCGGCTGAAGACCCCGGTGCAGAGGAGCCTGTCTCGCAGAATTCCAGAGTCGTCGCCCCCTTTTACCACCTGGTCCCCTTTTATCCTGCCGTACCCAGTTTTTGGATTTTTGCCTTCCCCTTCTTCTCTTTGCTAAACAACCCCTCCAAGATTATTTTGTAAAAACCCTCTCCTTTGCTCGCCTTTCCTTCCCAGCCTTCCCATCCCCCGACCGAAAGCAAATCATTCAACGACCCCCGATCCTCCGACGGCAGGAGCCCCCGACCTCCCAGGCCGACCGCCCTCCCTCTCCGCGCGCGGGTTCCGGGCCCGGCGAGAGGGCGCGAGCGCAGCCGAGGCCATGGAGGTGACGGCGGACCAGCCGCGCTGGGTGAGCCACCACCACCCAGCCGTGCTCAACGGGCAGCACCCGGACACTCACCACCCGGGCCTCGGCCACTCCTACATGGACCCGGCGCAGTACCCGCTGCCAGAGGAGGTGGATGTGCTTTTTAACATCGACGGCCAAGGCAACCACGTCCCTCCCTACTACGGAAACTCGGTCAGGGCCACGGTGCAGAGGTACCCTCCGACTCACCACGGTGAGTGCGCCCGCGGTGCGGGGACTCCCGCCGGCCGCGTCCGCTGTCCCAGCTCGGGGAGGTCGGGAGGAACCTGAGGGCGGGGAGAGGCCCAGCGAAAGCCCCGGTCCGCCGTTCCTGGTTCATTTACAAAAAAATTGGGGCCCGGAAATGGGCGAGGAAGGCCTCTGGCTGGTCGCGAGAGTGTGTTTTGAAAGAGTCGCAGCAGGCGCCTCTCCCGGCTGGTGGCCCTGAGGCCTGGCGCTCACCTGGCGGGCGCCAGGCCGCAGCCCTCCGTCCCCGCACAGCTGCACGTTTTGGGGGGTCCCGGGATGTCCCCAGGCGCGGGGTGCCCGGGCTCTGCCTCCGCGGGTCCGGGCTCTCTGGGCCCGGTAGCCGGCGCTGGCCAAGCCCGGCTGGAACCCGGCTCCTCCAAAAAAACTGGCGTTCCCTGTTACCGGCTAGCTCTTTCTAGGGGGGCCTCTCCCAGCGTCCCTCAATTCGCACATTTTCAGAAAGGCCCCCAGAGACTTATTTATTCACACCCCTCTCCTTAACCTTTTTCCAAAGCTGGTGCCTTTGGTTTTTAGACAGGTCTCCTACCTCTTGGCTTCAGGAATGGAATTCCGATTCTGAAGCAGTTTTCGGGGGAAGACCCTTGTCTAAAGTTTGAGGGCTCTGAGGTTTCCCGGATTCCCGGCTGCACAGAATTTTCCTGCGTCTTTGCTTTCCAGTTGCCTCCTTGCCTGCAACTCTTGCTTTACCCTGTCTCTGGGTACTGCCCCCGACTAGGCTCCCACCTAAGATGCAGGATACACCCCAGTTTAAATAGAGGCAATTCCAGTACCATCTCTTTCCCACTTTCACCTGGAGAAGTTTAGGAGCGTTCCGAAAATTAAAAAAGAAAACCAGGCCTGTGTCGTTTGAGGAACAAATATTGAACCCTTTCCAGCTGTAAGTTTCTTCCTAAAGAAGAAACAGGGCCCAAGTATTGAGCAGAAAAAGTGTGAGGCTTTCTGAGTCTAGCCAGACCGAAGTCTGCCCTGATCTCCTCCTCAGAGCCTGCCTTGGCACGGATGACACAGCCCCTCCGGCAGCAGGCGTCCTCTACCCTGCTGTCGCCAGGTTTTCAACGATCGTTTTTGCGGATGGGGCGCTCTTTGCCCACATTCTGTGCAGCTCAGCAGTTAAGTGGAAATGCGGTAGAGCAGACTTAATATTATTTACTATAGTACTTCCTGCATAATATGAATCTTGACCCTTGGTGTTCAGAGAACTCTCTTTCCCTCTCCACTCTCCTCCCCTTCCTCTCTCTTAAGATTTTAGTTTCAGTATTGTTCTTAACGGTTGAATGTCAAATGCTGAGGCAGGTACCAGATTTAAAGATCAATAATCGTGTGGATTTGCACTTGCTTTTTAAATGTACCCCTCAGAGTGTATGAGTTGCAGCTACCTTAAGATTGTGTGTTTGAAATGAAGGCTAAACAGACTCTGTGTCCGAGTCATCTTTGATTTAAAATGGACACATCAACTGAAATTTCGTGTCTTAGGGGCTCAGGTGAAAATTCATATATCGCACTGGGGGGATCATAGCTTTATGGAGGGCACATGGGCTTATGTTATCTTTGTCTCCTATAGGATTTGGGAGGGTGAGAAAAGCAGAGAAAGAGCCATCCCAGGGTCCAGGCTTGGGAACTTTCTCCAAAAGCCCGAGCAATTAACATTTCCCTGCAAATCCCATTTCAGGCCTTTTGCAGGCAGCCTGGTTTGAGCAAGCACTGTGCTAGGTTTCTGGAAACAAACCCTGAAAGTCTCCTGACTGCTGTCCCAAGGCCTCTGCTTCCTGCATTGGGCGCTGGGAGCTGGGCCTCTCTCCAGGGTTGGTTTTCTGGTGTGAGCAGTTGTGTGGCCGGGCTCCATCCTTCAGGCCTCATCACTCACAGCCGGCTCTCTTATCAGGCTGGCTGGGATTAAGTCCGAGCCGGGGAACTCAGGGCCATTGAAGGAAACCCATAAATCAAGTCAGGTTCTAGAGAGAGGCCTGGGGGGATGTGACTGAGACGGTGGATCTGGAGAGGCCTAATAAGCAAAGGGGCCCTTCACTCCGCAGCCCCTCTCGGGTGTCAGCTGCAGGCCCTTCATTCTGCTGGATTTGATGGGACATCCGTGTGGGAGCTAGGGGTGAGGATCCTGCCCCCTTGCCTGAGCCCCAGGTGTGCCCAGCAGGTACTCCTGGGACCGCTGGGAAGGGAGAGTGGGCCTGGGCTTTTGCTGAAAAGGAGGCTGGTGTGAGGGAGAGATTACCCAGGTGCTCCTGATGGCCTCCCAGGGTCACACTTCTCTCCTTCTCTCTCCTGCCCTTTCCCTGCTGCCCCACAGGGAGCCAGGTGTGCCGACCGCCTCTGCTTCACGGATCTCTGCCCTGGCTGGACGGCGGGAAAGCCCTGGGCAGCCACCACACTGCCTCCCCCTGGAACCTCAGCCCCTTCTCCAAGACGTCCATTCACCACGGCTCCCCGGGGCCCCTCTCCGTCTACCCCCCAGCCTCATCCTCCTCCCTGTCGGGGGGCCACGCCAGCCCGCACCTCTTCACCTTCCCGCCCACCCCACCGAAGGACGTCTCCCCAGACCCGTCGCTGTCCACCCCGGGCTCAGCCGGCTCGGCCCGGCAGGATGAGAAAGAGTGCCTCAAGTACCAGGTGCCGCTGCCCGACAGCATGAAGCTGGAGTCCTCGCACTCCCGTGGCAGCATGACAGCCCTGGGGGGCGCCTCTTCGTCAGCCCACCACCCCATCACCACCTACCCACCCTACGTGCCCGAGTACAGCTCCGGACTCTTCCCCCCCAGCAGCCTGCTGGGCGGCTCCCCCACCGGCTTCGGATGCAAGTCCAGGCCCAAGGCCCGGTCCAGCACAGGTAGGAGCCAGCTCTCCCCTGGAGCCCTTTTCCCTCCTACCTCCCCTTCTCCTCAATCCATTGCCGCACCCAGAGGGGCCCCTCAGGGGAGCTGCGATGTCCCAAAGCCCACTGAGATGCCATTTCTTCCCATTCTTCTAGTCGGGAAGGGCACAGCGTGGCCTCCCATTCTAGCTCCCCCTGGCCTCGGAAGCGGTGGGGAAGTGGGATCTGATTTAAAAGCCCCCAATGAGCTGGGAAAGGAAAAAGACAAACAAAAACAAAGTCATGCCCTCTCCTGCCTGTCACAGGACTTCTGGATTGGGCTGGTAACCTTTAGTCAGTTTCCAAGACCAAATGGAAGGCCGAGGGAATAAATCTTGAGTGTTTCATGCTAAAACGAAACCTCCCCAAGCCTAAACAAACACAGGTCCCTCGATGACCCCTTTGGCCTCTGTCATTCTGACTGTTCCTCTCGCTCAACTCAAAGGGGACCATGCAGTGAGGACGGTCCTTTATTAGACTTGTAGAAACAAAGTGTGTGTGCAAGAGCCTGGCCAAAGCTGCGCGCATCTTCCCTGTGTGGAAAAGGGGGCTCTCAACTGAACTGGGAGAAAAAGCTGGCTTTGCATTGGGGAAGCAGAGTTGAATGAAAATCAAATCGCCTGGGTCAGTCAGTTACCTGCAGTGTCTCCTAGGGCTCTCAGCGCAGGCAGGGGCAGGAAGCCCCATTAGGACATATTCCTCGGCTGAGCTGAAGCCAGAGGAGGTAGAAAGGACTGGAAAAGTGCTCCAGGTGTGTACTTCACCTTTCTGTGCTCTGCTCCTTTCCAAAATGCAAGCCCTGCCTTGCAGCTTACTGCATTTTTTATTCAATTGGTGTCATTACTTGCATGGAAACACACACACACACACACTCTCTCTCTCTCTCTCTCTCGCTTTAAAAATAAATCAGTCCATCACCAATTTCATTTCTAACCAGAGTAATTGCATCAAAAGAGAGCTAGGCATTCTCTGAGATAGATTTCACTGTGTTTTTAGACAGGGCTTGGTGAAGATTGTGACATCTCCTTAGGTATGTCTATTTCAGAGTCCATTTCTGGTGCGCTTTAAGTGTCTTGCCTCTTCGCTCTCTCTGTATAGATCCTATATAGAAAGTAATCATGAAAATCACTTGTCTTTTAGGGGTGAGATGAGCAGCCTTGAAACCGAGCTCCCAAAGCTCCGGTTTGAAAAACTTCAGAGGGAGTACTCTGGGAGCCCAGTGACCATGAGATCAGTTTTCAGGGTTTTTTTTCCAGGGTGACATTCACTCCGACTGCCTGAGCAGGACTGTCTCTATTTAGTTGATATGTTTTAGCTAATCCAATTATTTTCAGACTGCTGCACGCGACAGTTGCATTGTTTATCCCGAGCCAGGAACTTTAATAGAGTCCGGATGCGGTCAGGCTGACAGAAGAACTCAGACCTGCATGTTCAGTACATGAAAGCAGGCAGGAGGGAGAGGGAGGCAGGCTGGCTGGTGGAGTCAAAAAGAAAGCTAGAGGCCGGGAGAGCTGGAGGAGCCGAGCGGCCGCCGTGCCTCCGCCGGGGCTGGGCTTGGGGGCGGAGGGAAGGATTAAGGAGAAGTGGGGTGCAGCGTGACTCAAAAACACGGCGGGGAAGCTGAATCTAAAGAGAGTAGACCTGTGCATTTTGAGGTCGTGATGGCATTTCTTTCCTTCTTTTCTTTCTTTTTTTTTTTAAGTTCTCTTTTCTGGTAAGGCTATGAGGCTGGGGAGAGCTCGTGGTATCTGAGGCCGGAGTAGTGGTTTGTGCCGGTGGGGAGGGGACAGAGTAACTTTTCCAAGATACTCTGGTTTCTCTACCCTCATTTCCGTGTTTGATTTCTTCCTCTCTCTTGTGCACACTTTCTGCCTTCGGTTGAGTCTTTTCTTTCCTCTCCTTTCTTTCCATAAGACTCTGAACATAGCGGGGAGAAAGAGAGGGCCGTGGCTTCCCTAAGCCGGCGCTAGGAATACTGATACCCCGATCTCGGTTTTTTGGCGAGGGGGAGTGGAGGCCATTGCAATTTGGCCTTTTTACTTCCTCCTTCTTAATTCCTTTCTCACAGCCATTAAAACCAAGAACAGCACACCTGGCGGGGGCGTTGAGCTAGCTGGGACTTTTGGGAGTGTGGAGGGGAAGTTTCCAGAAGCCCCTCCTTGTGCAGGGGGTGGAGGTGGTGGGAATTCTTGAGGAAGGGATTCTCTTGGTTTTAGTGGTTGCTCTCTCTCTATCTTCCCCCCCCCCCAACCTCTTCTTTGCAAATGCATTTGCTGAAGGAGGACACAGAAAAGAGGGTTTTCGGGGTTGTTGCTGGAAACGGTTGACGTTGTGGTTAGGGCACCTATTGCTTTCTTAACGCCTGGGTTTTTGGGGCTGGGATGAAGCTTTGCAAACAAAAGACACAGTCTTTGTGTCAAGGGCCTCTTCCTAGCTCCCGGCCACCCTTCCAGTCGGGCATCGCCCTCCACCATCCCCTGAACTAGTGCCTGCCCTGCTCCCTACCCCCTCCCACGCCCGTTTCAGGGTTTCAGGCCAAGGCAGAGCAAGAGGCATTTGCCAGCAGCTGTTGAATGTCAAGAGGCCTCGCAGCTCTGTGGTTCTTGTCACCTAAGAGAGAGGTGTCTGTCTGAGCAGCTCACAGCAGGCAGGGGCGAGGAGAGGGGAGGGAAGAAGGCAGGAGGGAGTCAGGGCCTCCATTAGGAAAATTGGCTGTTTGGTGAAGTCATAGACCAGAGGCAGCAAGGAAAAAAGAAGAAGAAAAAGCCCATACGAGGCAATGGCAAACTTGCCGAGTGAATCAAGACAGAAAATTGCCCCAGTGTGCACATCCTTGTTGAAGAGGTAACCGTTGCTAGCTTTCAAGGTCTTTCTGAAAAGGAAGCTGTCACTCTCCCCACCGCCCTGCAAATGAAAGGAAATCAGACTGATCACGTCAGGCTGGGAGGTCCCCCAGCGCTAGGGTGCCAGGGCGCTCAGGAGCCGGGCAGCATCCATGCTCTCTGCCTCCAACCGCAGCCGCCTCTCCTCACGTTGCCTCTGCCCAGTGCCCAAGTAGGGGAGAAGCCTGGGGGCCCCGTGTCTGGGCAGAGAGGGGAGTGGGCCTGCAGCCCTAGCTGGGACAGGGCCAGTGCTGCCCTAGAAGGGGCTGACCCAGCGGCCACCTTGGATGCGGAAAGGCAAGCCTGTGGCCGCCTGGCTGGGGCGCAGCCGGCAGCTCGCCCACTCACCCTTCACTCTTTCCTCCCAGCCTCCCCCACATCCAGTCTGCGACATCCCTCAGGCTTTTGACCCCAACTGAAAGGTGTCTGGGTGTGATTCAGGCCTGGGTCTTTTTCAAGAACTGAGAAGAGCCATTGGGTACTAAAGAAGGTGCTTTGGCAGGCACTGCAGCGTGTTTGTGTATAATCTCAGGGGTTCTGGGCACGGCGAAGGCTCTCTGGGGACCCCAGGCTAAGAACCTTTTGGAAGGTGGAGAAAAAAAAAAGCCTTCTTACATGCTCACCATTTTTTTTTTTTTTTTGAAAAAGCAAAGTAGACAAAAACTGGTGGGCACCATCCCTGACTCTCATGAAAAAGGATGCAAGACCCTCTTCTGTTTGCAAGTCCTTAACTTTCCTGAAGAACTTGTCCCTAGAGAGGATCTCAGGCCCACGCGTGTGAACCCCCTAGTTCCCTTCCACTTGGTCTGGGGCTTTCCAAAGGCCCAATAGGTCCTAGGTCTGCCAAGGCAGGCTCCTTCTTTTAGGGGAATCAACATTCTCAAGCACCCTCCTGGGTTCTCTTTCTCCATTCCAGTGGTCCAAGCAGGTTGGAGGTATTGATTACTCTCTTAAAACAGTCTTCAGGGCTCAATTTTCTTCCCCACCCACCCCCCAGGGCCCCCCTCTTGAGCTGACCTTCCTGTTCCCACAGGGAATAGGAGTCCTGGCTTTCTCGGGGCACCGAGAGAAGTAGGCACTAGGGATCCACGTGTCCCTGGGTCCCCCAAAAGCAGAGATTCTCCTAGAAAGCATTTTTCTCTTCCTCCTGCAGAAGGTAAAAAGAAGTCAGTTTGCAAACTCCCCAGCGTCTCGAAATGGATATTTAAGGGATTCTTCCAAGGAGCTCTCTGGGTGGGTCTGGGTCACTTTCCAGCCCCAGCTGAGGGAGTGAATGCTGCTCAAACTCCCTACCGGCCTGGCCGGTTTTTCGTTTATTTTGTTTGTTTGTGTTTTTGGAAAAAGAGAAACTGCGGGCAGGCCTTCCTTAATGAGCAGCCATCCCCCTTCCTTAACTTGCTGCTTCTCCTGATCTTCCTCTGACTGGCTTCACTCTGCCCTCCCAAACCTTTCTTTTTCCTTTTTGCCTCCCTCCCCCTCTTCCGGGTTCCCTGCCTAAAGTTTGCATTTCCCCCAGCACCCCCTGGCTGGGGTCATCCTTTAACTTCAGTCTCTATAACAGTGTCTGGAAAGCTATGGAAACCCCTCCTGGGTCCTAATCACTTCCTCTCCAGCCGGGGACATTTACAGTTTGATTGGAGGTAAAACCTAAAACCCTAGCTCCTGCAATCAATCAGCTGATTGATCAATCTATACATCTATTTATTATCTGTTCACCTTTCTAGCCATTGATTAATCCTTCCTTTTCCCCCATCCCAATCTTCATTATTTAATCAATCTCTATAGACAGAGCCATGATGATAATGGGTCACTTTTGTCTTCCTTTTTTTCCTTTGAGGGAAATGAATGGAATGTGTGGCTTTTGCCACCATCCAGGGCTCAAGATTTTCTCAGGGAAGTATTTGAAGCTGGAATCTGCGTTCCTCCTTGGTCCTGCCTGATCTTCTCCATCAAGTCGGGCAAGCCAAGAACAGGGTTCTGTTGCAAGGAGGCATCTGCCCCTTCTGCGGGCGCCTCCATGTGTGTCGGAGAACGGGCATGCAGGGACAGCATTCCGCAGCTCAACTTTGGAGCATCTTGGAAATAGGTGGAGGTGGACACGCTCCCCAAAAAAGGAAGGAGAAAGAAAAAAGTTCTCCATTTTGCTTTTCTCCCCCAATTCCAAACACTGTCAGCTTGTCTGCGTGTGTTCCTTCCCTAAGTGCCTTATCTGTGCTTTTGTTTCCAGAAGGCAGGGAGTGTGTGAACTGCGGGGCAACCTCGACCCCACTGTGGCGGCGAGATGGCACGGGGCACTACCTGTGCAATGCCTGCGGGCTCTATCACAAAATGAACGGACAGAACCGGCCCCTCATCAAGCCCAAGCGAAGGCTGGTAAGTTCTCGGGAAGGGATGGATTCCACGCTGACCATTCCGGGTTTCTCATTTCCTCTCTTTGGGAAGGACAGCTTTCTGCAGGAAATTGACAGGACTGCCCCACATCATGTCAGCTGGATTGGGACAGTTTTTTTCCTCCTTTTTCTTTTTTTTTTCAAATTAGATAAACAGAACAGCTCTCCCTCCCTCTTTTTTCCCATCCATGTTTCTTAAGTCACTTGTGAAAATTTTAGAGACTGAGTTCTTGGTTATCAAATCTGCAGTGTGTTCCCAAGTAGAATTATCACGTGAACAGGACCGGAGCAGCTGGTTGAAATGCATTGATGAGCACTGTTGACAGACAGAGACATTTAGTGTGAGGATGGGATGTTCCAGAAACCGTCCAGAATGGGTTCCTGAAGTTGTGACATGTGGCTTCCCAGGAAGGCTCATAGACTCAGTGCTGTGGATGGATTTGTTCTGCTAATGCTTTAAAATGGATGGGCTGATTAATTGCATTTCAGAGGTTTCACCAGCAACCAGTGAGCCTCCTGCCACTTTCCTCCTTTCTCAGTCTCAGCATTTGAGAACTTTCCATAGTCAGTTCTGTGGGAAATGTCATGTGAGCCCTCTCTTACCTGGAATTTGGCCTCATTTTCTCTTTGAACTGCTACCAGTAGAGTGATAGATTTTTCTCCCCTCTATCATTATTCTTTTTATTGTTGTTATTATTATTTTTTAAAAAATAGAGGTGGTTTCTCCACGTTGATCAGGCTGGTCTTGAACTCCCGATGTCTGGTCTTGAACTTTCAACGTCCGGTGATCCACCCACCTCGGCCTCCCAAAGTGCTGGGATTACAGGCGTGAGCCACAGTGCCCGGCCATTTTTTTTTTTTTTAAGACTTTTTAAGCATGAGGGATCCTTGAGAAAACCTGGCTCTGTCAAGCATGTATAAAGAAGGCTCTCAGGAGATTCATTTGCAAGCTCCTCTTTGGAAGTTTGAATAGTGAATGTGTGTGATAAACAAATAACTCTAGCCACAGCCAAGAGATCCAAATGCTTTATGTGGGGCTGACATTCACCAAGCAGAGATGGGAAGGGGAGGATTTCCCACGCAGATTAATAGATAAATTAGCGTCCATCAATTTCTAAGGGACAGGGAGAACACCTTTGTATTCTTTTTAAAGAGTTGTTTGCCCGCCCCATCAGAGTGTAGTGCAACTCAATATCTGTCCCATTCTGTTTTGAAGAAGGAAAAACTTTCTTTTTTTTGAGATGGAGTCTCCCTCTGTCACTTGGGCTGGAGTGCAGTGGCAGGATCTCAGCTCACTGCAACCTCTACCTCCCAGGTTTAAGGAATTCTCCTGTCTCAGCCTCCAGAGTAGCTGGGATTACAGGCATCCGCCACTATGCCTGGCTAATTTTTGTATTTTTATTAGAGACAGTGTTTCACCATATTGGCCAGGCTGATCTCAAACTCCCCTTGGCCTCCCAGAGTGCTGGAGTTACAGGCGTGAACCACCATGCCTGGCCAAAGAAGGAAAAACTTTCTAGGGATGGAAACGTCCACATGATTTTAATCTTTGGCAATCCTAGATATCGAGGCTTTATTCTTTCTGATCTTTGTCCCCTTCTCCAACTTTCTCAACCTTCCCCCATCTCTCCTCCAGCAATTTGGTTTTTTTTTTCCCCCCTTTTCTCTCTTGTGCAAAGCTGACTTCCTAGGAAAACGCTGCCGGATATCTGAGCACTGGAGATAACTCATAAACAACAACTCAGCTTCCCCAACCTAAACACCAAGATGTTTGAACGTATCAGAACAAGAAGTGTTTTTTAAAAAAAAAAAAGGCTAGAGGTGTTAGTGCAGAATGAATATGATCACACCACAAAAGAATGTTTTGAATCACTCAAACCCTGGCCTTAGTTAAAAAAAAAAAAAGAGAGAGAGAGAGAGAGAGAGAGAGAGACAGAAAACCTAACAACAAAAACCTTCTTGTTAAAATGTGTCTTGGTACCATTATATTTTGTTTTTGTTTTTAATAAAAGTAAAGAAGGAAAAAGAGAGGAGTTAAAAGTCTCAAAGTATGGGCTGATTGGTGAGCAAAAGTTTATTTGACATTTTCTTGGATTTTCTCCTTCTGTCTGGTCAGATTGCAGAGGAGGATCATACTTCCATTTTATATAATTTTGTCACCACTCACCTTTCATAGGAAATCTCTAGAACTCTGAGTAATAATTGCTTTGAATTTTAGAGTTCAATGACTGTCATATTTTCACCTGTCTTTTCTTTCTTACTCATCTGTCTTGGAGGGTTTGATGGTTTTAGTTCTATAGAATTCATATGATACAGGGAGATAGAACACAGGACACGTTCAGATTTCTTTTTCCTTTTTTAGCCCTGAGATGTGTTTGACTTCTGAACACCTAGAACCCTTTGTTTCTTCTTTGTTTCCAGTTCCAGTTTGCTACTTTTGTTTGATACATTTGCAGATTCACTGAAGACCACCCACCCCATACATAGCTAGTTCTTCTGTGAGATGTGTGTTTGACCCTGAATAAACTAAGGCAGGAAATAGGAGAGATAATTGAAGGAAAGATTCATAGATTCTCTTTCCCCCTGGCGTTGCCAGGATTTACATGTATCTCACCGCTAGTGAGAGGCGGAGCTGCTTGCTTTACTTTACTCCACTCCTGCTGACAGTGTGGCTTTGAGAGACTCTAAGTTTCCATCAAGTTTGTAGTACTGGAAGCATCTTCCTTTGCTTTTATTTAGGTTACTGTCAATAGACTGCAAAAGATTACACGCTCCACCTTGTCATCTGGAGCTCCAATTTTACCAGTTGGCATTATATGCTTGTACTGTATACACTCAGAATTGCTGGGCTAGGAAACCCAGGTGCCTGAGTGATATTACTCTGCTATAGCCGAGTAGCTCTTCAAAGAAAAAAAAAACACCATAGGAAGATAATAATCACATATAATTTAATTGTCAAAATCATTAAGCACTGATTTTATGTAGTACTTTCTTCCCAAGAGTACACAAGTGAAACAGTTGTTTTGAGCATTAAATTATCACATTTCATAAAGGCAGGCGGGGAGAGGCATATGGAGTGAGAATCAACACCATGGACAATGTGAATTACTTCCAAGATGGACAGCAAAAGACACCCGTCTTATCCGTTATGATAGATCAGAGTGGTGTTTAGTTTCCAGATCCTTAGAATACAGAAAAGAAAGAATTTTTTAAAAAAAGTCTTAATATATTCTGTTATTTACATCCCACAAGAGCATATCTGTGGAACAATTTAGCAACTCTGAAAGAAAAAGGGTCACTCAGGTTAATTCAAAATTGCCACTGGGTTCTCTATATCTGGTGGCTTTGGGTGTTGGCGTCAACTTTTTGCTTGATAAAATATTGATATGAAACTGTATCAGGATCTCTCTAGTTCTTGTTCTGTGTTCTTATAACCATCCCCACGGAATTTTCTTCATCACAGACAGAGACCAGCTAAACTCTTTCTTCTCGTACCTTTCCTTTGATAATAGTTTTGATTGAGGAACGGGGATAGTTTTGCGGTTAAAATTTTCTTCTTATGGTGGAAGGTGAAGAGACGTTTATATGACAAGTGACACAACTCCTTTTTCTTCCAATGGTTTTTTTCAGTTTTTTTTTTTTAAAGCGTGAACACAGAGAATAGTCCCCTGATCAGTTTAAATATGTCAAAAAGTAAAAGAAAAATCCCCCTTTTAAAGGAAATGAGGGCAGTAACACAACCAATGAATTAAAATTCAAGTTGAGGCTGACCTTTGACCTGCAACTCTGCTACTTACTCCGTGAACAGGAATAGGAAATGCCTAATTTTACGAAGATAAACTGATACCAGAGGAGGCGGGGGGTCCAGGGTTCCTGACAAGTGGCGGCAGTCCCTGGTCTTTTGAGTTTGTTTGATTGGTGAATCAAATTTAGGTGACAGCCACCTAAAGAGAGTGAGGTTGACTGTCTCCTGAATGGGAGGTGACCAAGGTTGAAAGCACAAGCTGTGGCTGGGCGTGGTGGTGGCTCACACCTGTAATCCCAGCGCTCTGGGAGGCCGAGGCAGGCGGATCACTTGAGGTCAGGAGTTCAAGACCATCTTGGCCAACATAGTAAAACGCTGTCTCTACTAAAAATAGAAAAATTAGCCAGGTGTGGTGGTGGATGCTTGTAATCCCAGCCACTCAGGAGGCTGAGGCAGGGGAATCACTTAAACCCAGGAGGCAGAGGTTGCAGTGAGCTGACTTAGTGCCACTGCACTCCAGCCTGGGTGACAGAGCGACACTCGGTCTCAAAAAGCAAAGAAAAAAGAAAGTGCAGGCTGTGCAAATTTAGGAGGTCTTGCTGACGTAGGATGTCCTGCTCAGCACTTCCTCAGGCGTGTCACCCATGTGTGTGTGCCACACACTTGCACAGTTATTGTTTGCAGAACTTGCTGTTGTGTTAGCACGCTGCCCTCTTTATAACTCAGCGGGTCTTTATTTGGGATCCAGAGTGCTTTTGGTGCTTGGCTTTGTGGCTTCTTTGCTGTGACTCCATTCTGATGGCTGTAGCCTATTTGAGGATGGATATTCTTGGGAGTTGTGTTTGAAAACAACCCTGGCCTTGCTGAAGAAGGCAACTGAAGGCCCAGCTCCAAAATTAGGCTGGCTAATTCAAAATTGCCACCCATAAACATTCACCGTGTGGCGTACTGTGTGGGATGAGGGCAGGAGACCAAGACTGCCAGGGAGGAGGCCCTGGCTTCCTGCTCCTATGGGAGGGTGGTGGGTGAAATTCTGACCACGTTACTGCAATCCTGACACGCTCCAGGGGAGTGGCGACATTTTTCTTCTCGAGGCAGCTTTTGGGGATCTGTATTACTTTCATGTGGGCCACTTGCTAGTTTTGATTTCAATGATAATTTCTTCCTTCCTTTTTTTTTTTTCATAGTGATGACAACACATTTAACATTTGTTTTGATTTTACCCTCTCCTCTCTCCCCATTCTCAGTCTGCAGCTAGGAGAGCAGGGACGTCCTGTGCGAACTGTCAGACCACCACGACCACGCTCTGGAGGAGGAACGCCAACGGGGACCCCGTCTGCAATGCCTGTGGGCTCTACTACAAGCTGCACAATGTAAGTGGACTGGGAGCAGCAAGAACAGGGCTCCCCTCCTGTTGGTGACCAGCAAACAGCGTCACCACCACCCTGTCCACGTGAATCGCCCACCCAGGGGCCCAGATCACAGGCTCCAAATAGCTGATGCAATAGGACCAAGCTTGGAAGACTACTTTGTCTAGCATTGCCTTGCTGAGGCCGAGGGGGCTTGCAGCCTGACAGCCACACCACCCCCTTGGTAGGCATTAAACATAGTATGTACAATGCAGCAATCTGATGTGCTGGGTGGGCCTGTCTGGTTCATAAGAAAAAAAAAAGTCTTCCTTTTGGAAAACAAAAAAAGCTACCAGTCCTAGTTTGTTGTTTCTTTACATTTTAAACTTTTTGCAGAAGGAGAAAGTGAAGTGAAAGAGAAAGGTAAATAGAACTGTAATGCGTGGCAGGGTCTCTGGGGACTAAGAGGACCCATTCGATTACTGAGGGTGAAAAGTCTTGGCTAAATCTGCACTGCGAATTTGAAATGGATTCTCTGTATAAAAGACGTGGAATGAAATGTCTGAGAGATCCCATCTGATGTCTTTGTCCTAACCAACTTTCACATGCACAGAGCTAGCTCCTGAGGATGCTGGCAGGGGGACGTTGCCACACCAGGGAAAAGAAACTGTCGTTTTCTCCTTTTATATCACGTTGGCAGAATGGGAATTGCCAGTCACCTGAGTTTAGCTGTGTCGTTTCTAATCTTTCCATTTGAGGGTCTTCTCATTTTGTAATATATCTTAATCTTGAAAAAATTTTTTCAGGTTTTTTTTTTTCCCTGAAACCATTCTGGCTCACAGGCCATGACCCTGGTGAGGACTCAAGTTTATATTAATTCCAAAGACAAAAATGGTCATTTTGGTCTCTCTCTCTCTCTCTCTCACTCTCTCTCTCTCCTTTTTAGCTCCTTCTGATTCTCCTAAATTCTCTTGGCCAACCTGACTTTGGCAAAGTCTGGAGCTGAACAGGGAGGAGACAGGGACTTTTGCTTCGGGCGGTTCTGGCATCGAACTCCTCTTACTCAGGAGTACCTGGGAACTGGGGAGGAAGCACTTCTGGTTGGATTTTTTGAGTCACAGAGAACTTCTCAGGGTGACCTCAGCACCCTGCTTCTTTTTCACCTTTTGGGAATAAGTTGCTGTGATTCCGAGGAACCCGATACACTCATTTCCCTGCCTCTCTTGCTGTGGTCCTGGTGCAGTGAATGAAACGAGAGTCTTATATGATCCTTATTCTCCTTTAGGTCCTGGGACTGTGGTCTATGTACATTTATAAGCAATTAAATCCAAGCTCGTTTTCACTTTGGGGAATTTGCCTGTTGACTGGAATAGAGAGAGGGATTCATGATTAAAATCTGGAAGACTAGGCCGGGCGCGGTGGCTCAAGCCTGTAATCCCAGTACTTTGGGAGGCCGAGGCGGGAGGATCACAAGGTCAAGACATCGAGACCATCCTGGTCAACATGGTGAAACCCCGTCTCTACTAAAACTACAAAAAAATTAGCTGGGCATGGTGGCACGTGCCTGTAATCCCAGCTACTCAGGAGGCTGAGGCAGGAGAATTGCCTGAACTCAGGAGGCGGAGGTTGCAGTGAGCCGAGATCGTGCCATTGCACTCCAGCCTGGGTAACAAGAGCGAAACTCCGTCTCAAAAAAAAAAAAAAAAAAAAAAAATCTGGAAGACTTCGGGCATTAGAGTTTATTTAGCTATCCAGTCATCAGCACTGCCTATGAAGTTATTTTTAGGCTGTAATTTATGGATTTCAAAGAACTTTCATGTTACTTGATTACATTTGAGCCTCAGATAGTCCCATGATGTAGACAGAGCAGAAATTATTTTTATTTCAGTTTTACTTGAAGGAATGATGCCTCAGAAAAGCAAGTCAGTTGCACAAGATAACGTGGCTGAGAAGTAGAAGAGTCAGGGTCCATTTAAGAGTCAGGAGGCTTCCTGAGAGGTCGGTAGTGTCAGGACTAGGGAGAACCAGGGTTTCGAAAGGGAATGCTGTCTTCTTTTAGAGTACAACAAAATTGTAACAAATTGTGTGTATATGTATATTCCATCCCTATTTCCATGGAAGTATAGGAATTACGGGAGATTAACTAGCTATACATTTTTTTGAATAGTTAGTTGGGATGAGATATGATCTCACTTGTGTCTGATCTACTATGTGTGTGTGTGTGTGTGTGTATATATATATATATATATATATGTATATTTCTGAAGAATATGAATTTCTCAAATCAAAGAAAAGCCGAGGAATCCTGTCCATGACTCAGTTCTACCTCCTCCATCTTAATGAGCTTGATCTTCATGGCTGGGCTCTGGTGAGTGGGAGGCAGAAACTTCCTCATCCTCAAGAGTGGTTTTTCTGTCTTCTCTGATTTACCAGGAATTTGTAAAAGGAGGCGATTGATGTGTATTGAACAATAAGAGATAATAATCTATTAACGCTGTCATCGCATGCATCGTGTTGTGTTTTGCTCTGCCCTTGCGGACATCTCTACATGGGTGTAAGCCCTTTCTTCTTATCTAGTTGTTTAGATAACTGCCTAGCTTGGTATCAGCATCTCTGGTGTTGTGACTGGTTATCTGGAGTTGTGTGGCTATTGGTGTAACTAGATGTTATATTTAGATACCTGGCTATGTATAGCTAGATATCAGCGTTCAGAGCTGTGTATCAGGACATTATCTTGGTGAGGATTTGATGTGGGAGTAGATTCCTGTCATCTCTGTAGGCTGCATCTTTACCTTGACGATAACTTTGAAGGTGGAACCCGGAGACACTCCTGCAGCAGTGACCTTTCTGGGTTCTTCTGCCGTCAGCCATGTTGCTTCCCTGGGTATGGAGGAAATAAGGTCTTGGCTCCAGTGTGGGGCTTTGTCTCCTTCTCCAGGTGACCTCTCCCAGCTCAGCCTTGGGAAGCTGGGTGTTACCTGCCATTAGCAGCTTGGCCATTTGAATTCTCCCTTTCTTAGCTGGGATTTTCTGGCTTTGGGAACAGGCAGGTAAAATCCAGAGTCAAGGGTTCTCCACCCTTGAGAACTGTGGTGGAAGGTGATGCTTTCAGCCTGGGAAGTCAGGAACAGCCAGGACCCTGATGTTCACAACTTGAGTCTGTTCGCCACCTTCCCTTGGGAACATGGCCAGATGTGCAGTTCGCTCTTCCGGGCAGACGTCTGCTGTTGGCGTTAATCTGCCTCTGCCTCACTGTGGGGAGTAGCTTCTGTTTACTCTGTAAAGTTTCCTTTCTTGATTCTGGGCCCCCAAAGCAAATGTAGTTTTACAAGGCAAATGAGGTTTATCAAGAAGAGAGAGATGGTAGCTGTCTCAGAGACTAAAGTCTCTTGATCTTAGGAGTAGGGTCTGGTCTCTGTCTCTTTAGCACATTCTTGGTCTTTCCTGTTTAAGATGAGTGCCCTTTTGTGCTCTGCACCCCACAGGTGGTTATCAAATACTCGTTGATTGGTTGGTTGGCTGTTTGTCTAGTTAGAAGCGGAGAGTCAGAGCTGGGTGAAGATAGCAACTTGCCACCATTGCAGCTGCTGTTGGAGTGATACAGGCAGGGATCACCTTTTAGAAAGGCATGGTTTCGGCCGGGCGCGGTGGCTCAAGCCTGTAATCCCAGCACTTTGGGAGGCCGAGGCGGGTGGATCACGAGGTCAAGAGATCGAGACCATCCTGGTCAACATGGTGAAACCCCGTCTCTACTAAAAATACAAAAAATCAGCTGGGCATGGTGGTGCATGCCTGTAGTCCCAGCTACTCAGGAGGCTGAGGCAGGAGAATTGCCTGAACCCAGGAGGCGGAGGTTGCGGTGAGCCGAGATCGCGCCATTGCACTCCAGCCTGGGTAACATGAGCGAAACTCCGTCTCAAAAAAAAAAAAAAAAAAAAAAAAAAAAAA